GGTGCAGAGGGAGGTCAGAGAGATCAAGCTGAGAGCTTCTCTGGTTACAGCCGTGTCTAGACTGGTCACTACCTTTAAGGTCTGTTTTAGGGCTCCACTTTTGTCTTTGGGGTATTTATTGGGTTGTCAATTTCACTATGGAGGACAAATGTCGAGGTCATATGAGGCTGTCTTTTGTCATCAGCAGTTAATAACATCTGAAACTATATTCACCCGGTCTTAACCCTCCGGTATCACTCTGGACATTTTTGTCCTGAATGGCCAATTAGAGTAGTCAATTTGAATGATATAGGAGGGTTAAACAAATGTGGGACCCTTGAGAGTGGATTTGATTTTATCATCAGACTTTGCTCCTATTGTGTAATACCCCCTGACTAACGGTGATAGCTAAGAATAACTTTGAATCCTTTTAAATAGAATAGAGTGGCGAAGTCCCTCCCTCTCTGGGGGACCTCCATGGGACCTTATTTTTGGAAAAATCATGTATTGAAGTCAATGGAGAGAGAAAGATTATCTTTTGATCCCGTTTGAATTGTGCAACAAATTACACATATGATGTTTGTCAATTTAAAAGATAATTTTGCAAGTCAAAAAAATTAAAATGTGTCGTAAAACTGTGAAGTAACACTTTTTTTTGTGTGAAGCGCTCAATGAACTACATCTCTGGTCTTGCATACGTCACCAACACCAAGATGGCCGTCACGTTGGCACATTTCACTTCTTTCTTTCAGAATGAGGTGAAATGTATTAAAATAGGTGAAAATCACTACAAGTCTGGTCATGTTCCGTAAGAGCCAGAATGCGGGACCGGCTTTACAAGGTTTCGGTGAGTAACACGAGTGTAATGTGTAACGTTAATGTACGCGACTCTGGGATTTGTAGTCTTTCTAGTTGCGTATTTGTCATAGTCTTATATTTCAACAGTTTTAAGACAAACTGTGACTTTTTTGACATGGAAATGATTTTTTAAGATTGACAAACATCATGTGTGTAATTCGTGGCACAATTCAAACGGGATCGAAAGATACGTTTTCTCTCTCCATTGACTTCAATACATACTTTTTCTGAAATAAGGTCCCATGGGGCGGAAGTAGATGGGCGTGACTTCGCCACTCTATAACCTAAGGACTTTACAGTTTGTTCCACAATCAAACAAAAGTGTACACCAAATTAAATGTAACCCCAACAGATTCAAGCACTTTTTAAAAGCTTGAGATAGCTTCCTTTCTTTCTGGATGAGATCCCTTTTGCACATGTTAGATACAAAAAAGTGCAACAGATATTTATTTCTGTTTAAGACAGTTGTAAACTAAAGTTAAACCTATTGCAGTAGTGTTGTCTTTATATGTGCAACATTCAAGGTAACACGTTTTGAGTATTATACTTAAAGGTTTGTACGTTGTTATGATGAAGGTCTGTTGTATTTCAGGGATAAAGGGGCTTATCGATTTAATCATTTGAGTCTGATTTCAGCAGCCTCTGTGTCAGGCGGTCTAGACTGTGACAGGCTTCTAAAAGCAATGAGACAGGTTTAGTTTGGCTTCAATCACAGCGCAGTACAGTAGCTCACATCCACGTCATGTGTGGTTTGAATGTGGAGAGCTGAGCTGTGTGTCATGTAGGGTGGAGCTGTGGGACAGGTGCAGAGATGAAAAGATTGGCAGGGGGAAGCAGGGCGTGCCTGCTCCGTGGCTGTTCTGACAGGCCTTTGGTATGTATCCAAAGAGTGTGAGAGCATGTGTGTGTGTGTGTGTGTGTGTGTGAGTCGGAAAACCTGCTCACATTTCTCCTGGGAAAATTGGGCAGGTGTGTGTGACTGGAAGCAACGTCTGCCTTTGTACTATTGTGTGCCACAGGAAGAATACCTGCTCGCGTGTGAGGTTATGCTGATAGACGTGAGAGCCTATAGGTGACGAGCGTCTTTTTCACGCAACAGCAGCTAAAAGAGTGTGACAGCTCCGGTGCAGAGTTGTATCTGACAGCGTAGTTAAATGCCACATTCAGTCCCAGTATGATACTCAGCGCTGTCTTTAAATCATCCATCCATCCATCCATCCATCTTCTCCCGCTTATCCGTGGTCGGGTCGCGGGGGTAGCAGTTCCAGCAGAGAGCCCCAAACTTTCTTTTCCCTGGCGACATCAACCAGCTCTGACTGGGGGATCCCAAGGCGCTCCCAGGCCAGCGAAGAGATATAATCCCTCCACCTGGTCCTAGGTCTACCCCTTGGTCTTTAAATCATTATTATTATTATTATTGTGTCCATTATACTCAGCCAGAAGAGCTTCATGCTCTCCTTGGAAAACAGCTGATCTGCTATGTATACTATAAAAACACAAAAATGACATATTGGGTTTAGAATGAAGCGACGGACCTGATTTTTGTTTCGTAGACATTTAATCAGTATGGAATTGTCTTTTCAGCAGCATTGTTCTTTGTATGCTGTCAGTGTGTGTGTGTGTTCGTGAGTGGGCATGTCTGCATGGTAATGATGCTCCGGCTGCTGTTGCGCAGGCCATTGTATTAATACACTCTCTCAATGTGTTAATACACTGCGAGAATGAGAGCTATGAACGAGAGACTGAGAGAAAGAGAGCGAATAATTATGTTTCCTCTTTTGTCTCGGCTCCCTCAATTAAGCCCGAAGAGAGGCAGCCAGAGCACATGTCTACTTATCCACTTAGAGCTCAGCAACAATAGGACCCCCCAATCTGTCTCTGTCTATCTCTCCCTCGCTCTTTTATTTCTGTCTGCCTCTGTTTTCACACTTTTCCATATCAAACTTCCATTCGGAGCACAGGACAAGCCATATGTTTTCTTTCTGTTTCTGCAGCAACCTCAGCAACCTCCCTCCTCATACACCGTGCCTCCAGCCTCACCTCACCTCTCGGCTCTACGTGGGTTTATCAGAGAGCCCCCCCCCCCCTCTCTCTCTCTTTCCCCGCTACCCCTCTCCCCTCTGCCATGCTTTGCCGCAGGGTACGGGGAGAGTAGAAACCAAGAGACTAAACATTTTAGATTGTACACCGCCAGAGGAAAAGCAGTGGTTTGATTTCCCCTGCGTTGTGTCGGACAGGATTGTTTTGTTTGTTTGGCCTGTGTGTGTGTTTTTTTCACCTCCACTCAGACAGATAGGAGAATAGATTAGCTACTTTGCAACTGCAATGTAAAGCCAATGCAACCAAGAGCTCTACGTCTTAAAAAAACATGTTTTCTAACGTTTGTATTATCCAAATGGTGTATAATTGTAAATCTGCGAGGACAGCCATTGTATACAAGAGGGTTATATTGATTTCCATTCATCAAACATACATGCACTATCTAGCGTTTTAGGTATCAAGTCTTGTGTTTGAAATTACAGTATGGCCAACAATTGACACTGATTCAAAAAAGAAAGCAGGACTCTCCAAAATAAATATTCAGCCCGTGTCAAGCATTGTTTGTTCATCGTGCTACGTGTGTTTCTGTTTGGTTCTGAAGTGTGTGGGTTGGACTAAGCCTTATTACGCTGGATGGGATGGAGGAGATAGGAGAAATAAAAGGTGGAGGGGGAAGCAGGGGAACGGAAGAGGAGGAGAAGTATCAGGGTCAAGTTTATCTTATATAACTGCTTCCCACAGCTGGGGAGAAATGTACTGCAGCGGCTAACACCCATACTGGAGTTGAGAAGTGGAACGAAACACTGTAGTTGGTTTCCACGCACTGTAACTGCCACAACCCGTACTTCTCTAATTGTCCTTTCCACTTCTCCTTTACTAAACTCTCATTTCTGTATCTTTTCCGAGAACCGTAACAGGGTTGATTCCTTGTATTTCTTCCCCAGAGAATAATCAAACGGACAGTTCTGCTTATAATCAATGATACGAGCAGCAGGTACAAAGTGAACGGTAGAGAAAAAATGCTTTGTTAGCATTATGGAAAAAAGTCTGACTTACTTACCCACCACATTTGAAAGGAAGACTCTGTGTTGATTGACATCTGCTCTGCAATTGATAGACTGCACATTCTCCTTTTCTCTTTTGCTTGTTTCTTTCCCTTTCTTATTTACAAGGCAGGGAAATATTCTCTTTTCCATTATTCTCCTGCTTATAGGCTTATCAGAACCGAACACATCTGACATGAGTGTTTGCTGTATACTGCCAGGGGGCGTCTGAATGCAGCCGACTGAGAAGGATCATCAGTGATATCTTCGTGCAAACTAGATTTATTTGATCTTTTTGTGAACTGAAATGATGTGCACCACTACACACAGCGCTTAAACGTGCATACCTTCACACTATACATAGCATACTATGGAAATCATGGTCTACTCTAAGCAGCTCAGGGCTGGTATTAGGGGAAATTAGGTCGTGTTGGCAAGGATCGTTTAATTGAGTCTTAAGCCGAAAATCATTCACCATAGCTGCTTTCATGTTCTGTCATTTCACCAAAAGTGTGTGTGTGTGTGTGTGTGTGTGTGTGTGTGTGTGTGTGTGTGTTCAAATCTCCTCGTCTGCCGGGTGTTAATACAAAATGATTTGTGCACATGCCCGTACATGCCTGTATGGTTTCGGGTTGGCAAGGAGTGTCAGTGTGCCTTTCTAAGACAATGCGGTTGTTTGTGAGTTTGATCTCCCCTCAGGCTCAGATAATGCCTCTGCACTTTGTTTCTGATGATCTGCGACTTATGTTCATGTGTGTATTTAAATGTGTGTGCTTTTAACTTGCCTCACTGCATCATCTTAACTCCATGCTTACTGACCACAGTGTCCTTTATTCTCTTTCATCCTGCCCCCTGTGTCCTCTCCTATAGACTCCCTCTCCAGTGCGTTTCACAGCTTTCCTTTCAACTTGACTTCACCCGCTTTATGTGACGTACCTGGTAGATCCTCTGCAGTGGTTTCAGAACTACCTTCCCCTTCCCGTCTCCTCTCTCCTCCCCTGTGTGCGTTTGACACATCAGGTCACTTTGAAGTTGTGAGAGCTCCACTGAAACACTTCTCTCTCTTCTTGTTCCTCTCAGGGCAAATTGACACCGGCATTTGAGGATGTGCGGAGGATCATGCGGTCGGTGAGAGATGACACCGAGCTGATGTGGAGAAGCTAGTGATGCGGCTGCTTAACCACAGGTAACCACAGTTCGTACACTTTGCTCTCTTATTACTGCTACATTCAGTTTAATATTCAATATGCCACCCCTGACATACTTATGTATATATAATAACTTGCTTTATATTTTGTTTTTGTTATTGTTAATTTGTTAATTCAACATATTTTCTACTTTTTTGTTTATTTCCAGTTTTTTAAATTTGTATTGTACAATGCCATGTCTTTTATGCTGCTGCAACACAAACAATTCCCAAATTGGGCTCAATAAAGTATTATCTTATCTTATCTTAAATGCACACTAACAATAATGCTGTTCTTTTGGATTGTACCGGTTTGTTGGAATACTTTTAATTGACTTTTGATTCTCAATACAAGACAAAACAATGTGTTAGACTAGAATATGTTTGTCAGTGTCTCTGCAGTTGGAGCCCACACTGAGAACCTGATGGTGTGGGTTTGATGAGGTGGTGTGACTCACAGAGGACCGGCTGATCTGAAAGCAGTTGACTCAGCAGCTCCATGTGCTTATATAACAGGGCATGAGGCGGTGCAGGATGCTCCGATAACTCTATCATCAGCACTACGCAGTTTCAAACTGATTTCTTTGATCATTTTAACTGTTTTGGGAGTACATGAATAATTTGAACACCACTGAAGGAGAAAAGTGCTTGCAACAAGGATTAGGCATCAAAGTAATAGATGCTACTGCAGTGCACTGCGCAGTTTCCAATACTTTATTCATCAACATTTGACTTAAATTGAAATATACCTAAACGACAAAAAGGAGTTTGGGCATTTAAAAGTTGAGAGGTCTTTGTAGACGGTGATATTGATGCATTGTGAATACTTAAATGAGACAACACCAGAAAACCCTTAGGAAATGTTAGCTGTGTTTATGCTCCAAATACATTTTTAATTAACTTTATTGCCTCTGTGTAACCTCGCGCGAGGGTGTTGTACTAAGCACAATATCAAACATTAAGGTCAGTTAACATAAAGCTGGCAGAACTTCCCCTTTATCTGTCGTACACTTCTGCCGTACCACTGTTAACTAAAGGAGCAGCAAATGTTACCCTCTCATCCAGCACAGAGATTGACGTTTTCAACAACAAATGTGAGAGAGTGTACAAGCCAATGCCATTAGAGGGCATGGCCTTCAGTTTGATAATGGATTCAAAGCAGAGGGTCTCTCAGTAATACAACAAAAGCCTTTCTATATACAAACTGAAAGGAACCCAAATCTCACTGTAAATCACATGATTACACACACAGCTTTTCTCCATCTGGTACAAACACTTTTACACCAGTGGTATCGATGCCCTGGAGGAGGTTGATGAACTTAACGTACATATATATATATATATATATAGCCCTCTTACTTAGTTTTGTTATTAGCTGAGGTGATCGATGTGCCAGTTAATGAAAACAGATGTCAACAGGTTTGGTCCACAGTAGAACTAAAACACTTCACTAACTTTTAAAATGACAAAAACTAGTCATAGGGCAAAATGGTAACATTTCTAAGAGGTTTATGCTTTATTCTCATCTGCAGTTGAATCATGGGAAACGTCGAAAGTCAGAATGGGGACAGTGGTTTCTACGGCAACGCGTCGGGACACATCTCCCGCAAACAGACGTCCAGGTCACTCCGGCTCCCCAACAAGCAGCCAATCACGCGTCGTTCCCGGCTCTCTTCTTCAGTGAAACAGGAACACAGAAACTCTGATGCCTCAACTCGCTCCTCCAGCACCCCCAGCATCCCACAATCCTTAGCAGAGAACGGACTGGAGCCTTTCAACGCAACCGATGCACTCGAAGAGTTCGGCATCAACCCTCACTGGACACAGCGCGTCGCTATGACGATGAGGCCGGAGTCCTATCAACACGATGACGACAACTTGGCCACGCCGACTCCTGAAACCTCGGAGGCGGACACCGTCGCTCAGGACGGAGGGGAGGGCTCCACGGGGGAGGGGGAGGTACTTGGGGAGGAAACGTACCTACAGCGAATGACTGAGGGTCCCCGGGAGGGAGGGAGTTTCAAGAAGAAGAGGTCCAAGTCGGCGGACATGTGGAGAGAAGACAGCCTGGAGTTCTCTATGTCAGACCTGAGCCAGGAGCATCTGACCAGCACTGAGGAGATCATAGATGGAGGAGAGGAAGAGGAGGAGGAGGAGCAGTTTGCATGTCCAAGAGGCAATGCAGGTGAGGATGGTGAACACTCACACAGTCGATTAACCTCACAGAATACAAATCAAATGTTCTCATGTAGTATTTCAGATTTCTTTAGTGACAAAGACTAAAAACAAACGTGCTTTCTCCATTAAGTCTCAGCCGAAATCCTAAATTAACCAACTTTAATTAAGACATTTAATTAGACATTTAATTAGACAGAAAAGTTTCTAAAATGTTAACTCAGTATATGTATTTTTTATATATATATTTTTTTTACTGATAGTTGATACAAATGTTCTCATAGTGTATGTGGATATACTGTATGTGCATGTGTGCAGGGGTGTTAGCTTGATTCGCATTACAAGTGATGAGGGGGAAGGTGGGACAAATTGAACAGAGACACTCTGACACAATTTCAGAAAAACCTACTGATTAAAGGTTAGCTGCCATCCATCAAATTCAGGAGTTCAGTTGATCACATGATTGTTAGCTTAACCGGCGCTGTGCAGGAGATCAACGCATCAGCAGGCAGCAGCTGGTAACTGCTGATGGCCTAAGTGCTGCACCAGGGGGCAAGCCATCTCAGAGTAATGGAAGGGCTTGCTACGCACACACACGCACACGCACACACACACACACACACACACACACACACACACACACACACACACACACACACACACACACACACACACACACACACACACACACACACACACACACACACACACACACACACACACACACACACACACACACACACACACACACACTGACAACATTCATACTAAATCATACACTGAGAAAAAGGTAATTTACACGTCAAATGTGAGAAAGAAATCTGAAAGTAACTGACAGTAATCAGAACACACTTACCATACCTTGCTCTCAAACACACACACACACACACACACACACACACACACACACACACACACACACACACACACACACACACACACCACACACACACACACACACACACACACACACACACATACCATGTATACATCACTTCAGGGGACATTACATTGACTTACATGCATTTCCTGGAGACTTATCCTAACCTTAACCTTAACCAACACATGCCTAACCCTTACCCTTAACCTTACCCTAACCAAGTCTTCACCCTAAAATGAATGATTCCCCTCATGGGGACCTCCAATTTGTCCCCATAAGGGATGCGAGTCCCCACACGCGACTGTGTAAACAGATTTAGGTCCCCACAAGTATAGTAATGCTAGGCCACACACACACACACACACACACACACACACACACACACACACACACACACACACACACACACACACACACACACACACACACACACACACACACACACACACACACACACACACACACACACACACAGACATTTGCACACTGCACTGCAATAACCACCTGTGTGTGTTCCAGGCGCAGCTGAAAGGGCATCGTCTCTGGACCATCTGTGCAGCCAGCAGAGTCCCGGCCTCAGGGGGCAGAGGAGCCGCTACGCTAAGAGCCGTCGGGAGGCCCAGTGCGATGGAGATGAAGAAGGGGAGGGGTTGATGTCTCCAGCTGAAGAAGATGGTGGCGGGTACGGAGCATTCACGCTCCCCTGCCGACGCTCCCACTGCCTCTCAGAGGGCCTGGCGGGGCTCGGCATGCCGTCTGCACCGTGCCCGGCTTTCCAGGGTCGGCGTGCACAAACTACTCAGGTTAGTTAACTTTTTATACATTTAAGAAACATTTAACAACATGAATCAGTTTAAAAGTGTACTTCTCTGTGGTATACTGGCTCTTCTGTCTCTCCTTTATACATGCATAGCCCTTAAAATAGAATGATAGAGCACTTTGTTTACCAGTTGTATCCAGGAAGTTCATGGGGTTCACAGACATGACAGAAGACAACAATATACATTTTCCTGTGTGTGCTCATGCTGTGGAGTTGTGTGTATGTGCATGTTGTATGCACATCCAAGTGAGTGTGTATATTTGTGTAGCGGGGAAAGGGATTACAAGGATTCAGATGAGAGTTGCTGTGGGGCTACTTGTCCATGTTGGCCTGGTTTCTCCATTCCCCCTCCGGAAATTAAAGCATAATACCTTTCATGCCCCTTTCAATAACCATACACAGGGTCCTAACACGCATACATATGCACACAGAGACATGTTGAACATAATTGATAAGCCTTTTTTACGGTCTTACAAAAGCAGGTTCAACCAGAGGATAAAGAAAGAAGCAAGTCAGTGGATCACCAAGAAGCCAAATAATAAGAGAAGCCATGTGCAAAATAACAAAACTACCATCCCTAGAATGAAGATTGGCCCTGTAGTTATCATGTGTCATTGATTCAAGTTGCTTAATCAGAAGTAAGTGCTAAAATAGCAACCCAGGCTTTTCTTTATAACTCATTCCCAGAACCCCCAAGCATCCTTGGATCACAAAGCACCCTAAGTGTTTATTATAAATTCATCTAGCCAGGCTTAGGGGGTTTATAGACCGGATAAAAATAGACCGATAACACAGCAAAACAAAGAGAAAAAGAATAGAGGGACTTTGTTTAAAGAAAAGTGTGAAAGCAGAGAGCAAGGAAAGCTTTTTCTTAGCAGCAATGCATGCCAAAACATGTACTAGGGCTGCTCAATTAATCGTATTTTAATCGCAATTACGATTATGGCTTGCAACGATTACGAAAACAAGGTAATCAAAATAAAACGATTATTTTTTAATTATTATTATTACTTTTTTTTTTATTGGTTTTTCAGTTGAATTATACTTAAAGGCAAGGCAAGGCAAGGCAAGTTTATTTATATAGCACTTTTCAACACAAGGCAATTCAAAGTGCTTTACAAAAAATGAAAGAGATTAAGAAAATGGCATTTAAAATCAGTCATTAAAAAGAAAAGCTAATAAAATAAACATTAAAATAACAAATACATGGATAAAAGTTACAGTGCAGTTTAAGATATGAATTGTTCAATTAAAAGCAGCGACAAAAAGAAAAGTCTTCAGCCTGGATTTAAAAGTAGTCAGAGTTGTAGCGGACCTGCAGGTTTCTGGGAGTTTGTTCCAGATATTTGGAGCATAATAACTGAACGCTGCTTTACCATGTTTAGTTCTGACTCTGGGGACAGAAAGCTGACCAGTCCCTGAAGACCTGAGAGATCTGGATGGTTCATAATTTAGCAGGAGGTCAGAAATGTATTTTGGGCCTAAACCATTCAGTGCTTTATAAACCAGCAGCAGTATTTTGAAATCTATTCTTTGACACACAGGAAGCCAGTGTAAAGACTTCAGAACTGGAGTGATGTGATCCACTTTCTTAGTGTTAGTGAGGACTCGAGCAGCGGCGTTCTGAATCAGCTGCAGCTTTCTAATAGATTTTTTAGTGAGACCTGTGAAGACACCATTGCAGTAGTCAAGTCTACTGAAGATAAAAGCATGGACACGTTTTTCCAAAACCTGCTGTGACATTAGTCTTTTAATCCTAGATATATTCTTTAGGTGATAGTAGGCTGATTTAGTAACTGTTTTAATGTGACTGTTGAAACTCAGGTCAGAGTCCATGACTACACCTAGATTTCTGGCTTTATCTGTTGTTTTGAACATTGCAGACTGAAGCTCAGCGCTAACTTTTATACGTTCTGACTTGGCTCCAAAAACCATTACCTCAGTTTTATCTTTGTTTAATTGGAGAAAGTTCTGACACATCCAGTCATTGATTTGTTCAATGCACTTACTCAGTGTTTGAATTGGAGCATAGTCTCCTGGTGAAATTGTTACGTAAATTTGTGTGTCATCCGCATAGCTATGGTAACTTATTTTGTTGTTCTTCATTATCTGAGCCAGTGGTAGCATGTAGACGTTAAAGTTCAGGGTAATCAACTGTTCAAAACATACTGTCTCCGATGTTTTCAAAGTAAATGGATAATCGTTTTTAATAATCGTGATATCAATTATTGACCCAAATAATCGAGATTATGATTTTCGCCATAATCGAGCAGCCCTAGCTCCAACCCACATACAAACACGCACAAATGCAAACCCAGAGAACCCTTGTGTAGCTTAAACTGTGTTGTAGCTTTCCAAATATATCAGTTTCTGTCAAAGCATTAATAATTAATAATGTAAGTAAATCTGTTCTGTTTCTTTTCTGTTTGTTTCTGGCTCGCAGGACATCTCGGGTGTTTTGGGTGAGGGAAGTGAGTATGGGGACAGTGGCATCGACGGCGTCACCACGGAGATAGACGGGTATGGAGAGTTGGTGTCACGGCGCTGTAAGGCCATGTCGGCATCGTTCTCCGTTTACTCTGCTACCGAAAGCAGCGTTTTCAACGGCAGCGACAGCGGGAGCAGCAGCGCAGGAGGAGGAGAGGGACGAGGCGGCGAGGGAGGGAGGGGAGGAGTTTATGAGAATTACCGAAAGGAGCTGGACAATCAAGCCTGGGTTAGTCAATTAGCACATGTCTGTCTTTATTAATGACACATCCAACATGTTGGTTATCACTCATATTGTCAATCATTCCCTCCTCAGACACATCAGGCTAGGGACTGCACGGAGGAGGGCGGGTCCGCTGTTAGCGATGAGCGCAGCAGCGGCACACTCAGCAGTGCATATCCATCGGACGCTCTGATTGGCTGTGCACAAGGCACAGTCAGAAAAGCAGGGGCTCTGGCCGTGAAGAACTTCTTGGTTCATAAGAAAAACAAGAAGGTGGAACCTGCAACGAGGCGCAAGTGGAAACACTACTGGGTTTCTCTGAAAGGTGAGCATAGCTCTCGTATTTTTAGGTTTAAAAACGTATTTTAAATGTGTTTTTTTGATAAGGTCATGCAGCAGTATGTCACTTTCAGATAAACATCGTCTTAACGTGACGCAAACCCTGTCTCACGCTCGCTCTCCTGTTAAGACTGTAATCACATCAGACTTCACACAGCCCATGCCCTTGCTTGTCACCTCCACCGTCCTCTCTCAGCCTCTTCTGTGTGGCCTTCCACTTCCTCTCCCAGGCCTCATCACAATTTAATTTTACGGCCGCACCCGTGTCGAATCCAATCTCATCCTTGTTAAATGCATGAGATACAGCATTTGAAGCGGCATTTCTGCAAGCTTCCTGTCCTCATCCACCCACCTAATGATAAATAAATCAGACTGTCTAATGTTAGCAGAGAGCCCATGCTTCTGATTAGTCTGCCTAAATATCAATTAAGGAGTAAATGCATTATAAGCATAAAGGGACAGCATTTTTTGTGGTTATTTGGTAGTCTGTATTTTTCACACATTTTATATTTGTAAATTACTGCAACGGAGTGCTGAAAAGCCTTGTCTTTTGTAGGTGGTTACAATGTAATTGAACAAAATCGTAAATACAGTACCTAATAGGAAATCTGTAAGAAAAAAAAACTGTTCTTTAGCTTTCCATCTTTTTTTCTTTGTTCTTTTAGGCTGCACACTTTTCCTGTACGAGTCAGACTGTCGCTCTGGGATCGACCACAACAGCGTTCCCAAACATGCACTGTGGGTGGAGAACAGCATCGTCCAGGCCGTGCCTGAACATCCCAAAAAAGACTTTGTTTTCTGCCTCAGCAACTCAGTGGGAGACGCCTTCCTCTTCCAGGTGAGAGACACACTGGTATTTAAAACACGAGGCATAATCATGCACTTCCCTTAAAAACAAGGGGGGAAGTGTGTGTGTGTGTGTGTGTGTGTGTGTGTGTGTGTGTGTGTGTGTGTGTGTGTGTGTGTGTGTGTCTGTGTGTATGTGGCACAGAAGTACATGACATTTAGACATGTGTGGGATAAGCCAGGCCAGTGTCCATGTGTTTGTTTAATGTGTGACATGTTTAAAGGCCACACTGTCATAGTGTGACAGTGATCCACCACAGTGACCATTGTGTAATACTAAAATGTGTCTATTTATATGCATGGCAGCTGTCAACAGTGACATTCAATCAATGAATGAAGAGATAAGTATTAAGATAATGAGATTATAGTGACCACCTTCTCCAAGGCTAATAATGGGAATACTACTTCAATTCTTTTAGCTGTCATTTATTTTTATTTCTATGACTTATTCAATGTACATTTTTCCATTTCCTGTCAGACGTCGGGCCAGACGGAGCTGGAGAACTGGATCACGGCGATCCACTCTGCGTGCGCCGCGGCTCTGGCCCGGCAGCACCACAGAGAGGACACAGTGAGACTGCTGCGAACAGAGATCCGCAAGTTAGAGCAGAAGATCGACATGGACGAGAAGATGAAGAAGATGGGAGACATGCAGCTGTCGACCGTTACCGACGCCAAGAAGAGGAAGACCATATTGGAGCAGGTACGGAGCAAGGATGGGAAGAGGCAATAGGGAGTTATGACGAATGAACTCTGAAAGTACTCAAATACCTTAAAGCTGCTGTGTAGGAATTTGTCTCAGTGAGAAAAAAGGCTTTTTATATTTTCTTACTGCAAATGATTCATACTTTATGTCCATGTGATGCTGATATGAACCAGGTTTGTGATCTCATGTGCTGAGCTCCCTACTGAGTGCATACACTTGAGCTGAGTGAAAACACCTATGGGGCTTTACAGATGCACATCACTGTACTTTCAAACTGCAGTGTTGCTCTCACTCACTGAAGTCTCTGCACTAAATCATCTTTACTGCATGGCGTCATTCAGACAAAATGTTCTGAAGGACTACTTACAACGACAGATGCGTTCAAACATTTCCGGCATTTATAAACACCTAGTGTAGCAGAATGCACTCATTAGACATGTTGAAACACATGCAATGCATCAGCAGGCAGGTGAAATCACATGCTAATCCTGCCATATTTAATAGCTGTTTTGGATTGAGCCACATCTGGATTTTTTTTTTTAGGATTAGATCTCTTTATTATTAGTTGAATGTGACTCGTAGCTTTTACTCCATGCATGTCTGGAGTTGCATGTAAACATTGCAAAATAGCTTAACAATGTGCCCTCGAACAATGGGCCTCCTTGTGGCAACCCTCTGGTCTTTGAATGTGTGTGGCATTCAGTTGATAGTCAATAAAAGAAAACAATATTACTACAAAAAGCACCTGGAACTTAAATTGTGGGATCAAAGTGAAAATCCCTTATTATATGAATGTCGGACTTTTTCCAAGAACTTTATCTGGAACCACATTCATTTACAAAATGAGTTTGCATGAATAGGCCCGGGATGTACGTTTACATAAAAAGACTCAAAGAAAGAGCAGTTGTGTGAAGTCCTGGAACAAATAGGGGAAATAGTGCAAATGAAAAGATTATGTTTCAATGTGTGTGTGTGTGTGTGTGTGTGTGTCTGTGTTCCACCTCCCACGGACAACACTGTGATACATAGCACACAGCACACAGCACAGCAGGTCGTGGACTGGTGGGGGTTGTGTTGCTGAGTAATACCTCTCCACAGGGGCTTCAGCACTCCCACATCTCACTCCTCCTGGAATGACCAAATCACCATCAGGATGATACCTTATGCATATAAATATGTATCTCTTTATCACTGTTGTGATGTTACCTATGATGTCTCTATTTCTAGCTTTTAAGGGTCATTTCATTTCTTGTATTCTTCTTTGTTATTTGATTCTGTATATGTTGCACCTACAGTAGGGCTGTGCAATTAATCGTATTTTAAACGCAATTACGATTTTGGCCTGCCACAATTACAAAAACAACATAATCGAAAAAAACGATTATTTTGCTTTGCTAGGTTGTGACAGTGCACTGCAACATATTTGATCTAACTAATTTTAGTCTAATTTGTTTTTATTTATCATATTTATATATGTTAATTAACATATATAAATATGATAGATCCTTTATGATAGATATATGTTCTACTCTAACCGACCCGTCTGGGAAATAGAACAGTCCAAATGTTGGTAGGTCCAGCAGAGACATGTTGAATTGTTGTGGTCTGGCTGCTCAATTTCAAACAATAACCGTCCGTCCACCGATGCACTTGGCTCTACCGCAGTTGGCGCGCAAACTGCTACATTGTGATTGGGCGTTGTGAGTGACCTGCATCACGTGATGCAGGTCCAGTATTATTCGGTTTCAGCCGTACTTTATAGCCCTTGGTCTGGTTTAACGCTAGCTAGTTGTTGGAGCTAATGACTAACAATTATATATTATAAATATGCCACCAGTACAGTCATTGTGCATTATTACATGATGGTAATAGTCCAGACCTATACACTTCCCAGAGGTGTAAACAAAGTACACTATTCACAAGTGTTATAAAATAAACACTTACAAACAAAGTACACTGAAGTACAGTTTAAAATGAACTAACATTAAAGTGCAGTTTGTAAGTATACTTATGTACACTTCTAATGGAGTGAAATTCAAGTCTACTTAAATAAAGCATACTAATAGTGTATTACAAATGACTTGCAAATATTGAACTTTTCAAAAGTAAACTAACGTACCACCGTAAGTATTTACAAGTTAATATACTTTTTAAAAGTACAATAAAGTACAAATTAAGAAAAACGTATATTAAAGTGCACTTTTTATAAGAGTACTTAAATACATTTCTAATGAAGTGTATTTAAGTACTTGTTATTAAAGCATGCTAATAGTGTATTACAAAATAGTAAAAAAAGAATTGTACTTTCGATAAGTATACTTAATGACTACTATAAGTATATGCGATGTAGTACGTATAGCGAAAGTGTACTTACTTGCAATTCACAATACACTTAGTTTCAAGTACACTTTTAATAAGCACATTAAAATACCACTTTAAGTATTTCAGAAATAGTATATTTATATTTAGTACATTAAAATTGAACTAAATGACATCTATTTTGAATTATACTTTTTAAAAGTACATTTTAAACATACTTTCAATTAAGCACAAAAAGTAGAAGTATACTTGTATACACTTTTGTATACTTACATTATATTTCTAATACACTAAAGTATACTATTTTTTTACCTGGGAAGTAGCTTGTGGAAGTGCGCTCCAAAATATTTGTTGATCTTGTTTATTGGTATTTATTATTTTGATATTATTTATTTAAATGTATCATTTATTTATTTTATTTTTGTATTGGTTTTTCAGTTGAATTATACGTTCAGGGTAATCAACAGTTAAAAAGATACTGTTCAAATTATTATTTGTTTTATAGTTCAATAAATGGATGTTTTCAAAGTCAATGAATAATCGTATTTAATAATCGTGATATCAATTATTGACCAAAATAATCGTGATTATGATTTTTGCCATAATCGAGCAGCCCTAACCTACAGTACCAGAACAAAATACATTTCGTTGTGCCTTAACAATGACAATAAAGTTATTGATAGTTGAACGTTTTATCGTTTGCCAAATCTAGTGCACATTTCCGAAAATCTAATCAGGAAAGTTAGTTTTTCTTGCATAACCAGAATCAGAACCAGAATCAGAACCAGAATCAGAACCAGAACCAGAACCAGAACCAGAACCAGAATACCTTTATTAGTCCCACAGAGGGGAAATGTAAATTGTTACAGCAGAAAAGAGCCAAAGACAGCTTAATGTTACCTAAGCATGCATACAAAAAGATAAAAAAAGAAATCATAATAAAAAAGTTACACATTTTCACACAACCAAAAACGCCTCCCTTATTTGATTCTTTCCCTTTTGTTAGATCTTCCTGTGGGAGCAGAACCTGGAGCGGTTTCACATGGATCTGTTTCGCTGTCGGTGCTACCTGGCCAGCCTGCAGGGGGGCGAACCCCCCAACCCCAAACGCCTGCTGGGCTTCGCCTCGCGTCCCACCAAGCTGTCCATGGGACGCCTGGGCATCTTCTCCGTCTCCTCCTTCCATGCACTGGTACGAGAAATTCCCATGCACACACGTGTTTTAGTACTTGTGTGCGACTTCTTATTCTAACTGTCTCACTCACTTGCTGTAATTTGACTCTTAAACCTAATCAGATCTCCTAAATCAAAACTTTGAATTCGGTCCCAGGTGTATCTTTGTGTTATAGTAGGCATCGCGTGAGAGGTTCCCAACTGGTGACCCTCGACGCCCTCAGCTTGTAGAGTGGGTGTGTTTAGCTGGCAGTTGGAGTGAGCATCTTGGCACATACGCCCACTAAAAGGATTTCTGCTTGTCTGACAAATCTACAAACTAATAGTGATTGCACTGCATGAAGCCTGAGGTTGAAACACATTAAAAGCTTAATGGTGGTTAATTAGGAGCAAGCAGGAACTACAAGGTTAAATAATGAACATCCCAAAGTAGCTTTGCACTCCAGCTGCTATTTTGGACTTTTTTAGAAAGTTTTAGAAGGCTGAAAATGTTGTAATCGAAAATGGGCCAAAGCTGTGATAAAACCTGCTAATAAGATAAGATAAGATAAAATGAACCTTTATTAATCCCTGTGGGGAAATTCAGTTGTACAAAGTAGCAACAGGGTAAGCGTGAAAAAACAGGACAGCAAAGATTCACACAGATTAATAAAATCAAAATAAAATCAAGAATTTTTTTTTAAAAATAATAATGATAATAATAATAAAAGACTATGAAATAGGAGATGAATAAAAATAAGAGTAAAATAACTGTCAGCATTTATACATAATTTGGTCATCTAAGTTATAAAGTACGGAATAAGTTAAAGTGACAAGTGAAAAGTGAAAATGGACATCTGTACATATAGTGACATATCTATCTACCTATTTGGTCTACTACTAATATATTAACATGGGTTGTGGAAACAGTGTATATTTATGTCCAGTGATTTAATTTATTTATTTTTCATTATTAACCCCTTGTTGTGCAGCCTGATGGCTACAGGCACAAAGGACTGTCCGAGGCGCTTGGTGCGTTGTTGTGGAGGGATGAGTCTGTGGCTGAACGTACTCCTCATCTTCACTAGCTCTGCGTGGAGTTAACACTAATATAGTAATTAGTTGCCCCTTCTTTCTTGGTAGTAGTGGTTGTTTCTTTGAGTTATATGAAGACATTTGAAGTCCTTATTACAGAGTTTGTATGTTGTAAAACTCTGTTGGGAATCAGTTTGAACCTTGAAGAAATCCTGATCTCAGCTGTATCTTCAAACAGAGTATAACAAGTTGAAAATCAATAGCATGATCATGTAACATTTATTTCTAATAACATCTAAAAAAAGCCTTTTATGAAAATGAAAACCCAACTAAATTATCCCTCCTTATAAATAGCCTCTTTGATGGATGTGTTTCTCCCCGTTAGGGAAACTGCACACCTGCCTTACACACCTGCACACACAATGTCACCTGGCACATTCAGATCACTCTCCTCACAAGCTGTTCTGATGTTTGCTGCTTTAAAGCCAAGTCACTGACTCAAGGCCATGACGTACTCTCGTTGTTACCTCAAGCATTCCTAAGAATGTGCAGAATGAAACGCTGTCATGGAGGGAATGATCTATATGCTGCTGTGCATCATGTGACTCTGCTAAATATCATCCAGGAAAAACAAGTAAAGAGAAAGAGGAGGAAACAAATCTCTATAGACCAGTTTCAGACAAGCAGGACATCAGATAACATACACACACAAACACACTGACAACATCAGAGGTTGATAGTGTTTTTTTGTGACAGGTGGATCAATATGAACTCTGTTAGTAAGCTGCCATCCCCGAGGCACTTTCCCACAAATAGGCTTAACACTCTCTGCTCTGTTGACCCCCTCCTTCCTTTTTTTTTTAACACCCCCACTTTCTTTGTCTCTGATAGTCGGCACAATATTAGACATCCAGAGCCTGACCGTCTTCGAGGCGGTAAAAAACGCTCATGTCTACAGCTCTCTAAATCGTATCTACATTATTTCGACACCCTTTTTCCCTTCTCTGTCTTTCCTCCATCTTCTTTCCCTCTAAGTTCACAATCAGATCTTTTTTTCGCAAATCTACAGTTTAATATTGCATTAGTCAAATAGCACTCCAAAAAGACACACTATGCTTTGCTATATCAATGAACTAAATGAAATTGAAATACATTACCATACTAAAGAATAGAACCTGGTAATTTATTAATGAAATACAAAAACTAATTCATATTGCCTCCAGCAAAAGATAACTGTCCTCTCTCTCAACTCTCAGTTTATTTGACCACTTTATTCATTATTTCCTACCATTTTATTACAAAGCACAAAGAGACATTGTAATCTGGAATGAAGGAAAAGGCCTCTTGCACGCAGCACACATAAGAAGAATCTTGAAGACAATTTGACCTATTATGTTGGAAGTGTGTGTGTCTCATGAGCGGTGACTGGCAAGGAAATCAATAAGCGCACACCCACACAGTACACTATATCTATATGCTTGTGCACATACAGTATATATATATGTGCATAAATGCATCTGTGAACCACACAGTGAGACAGGGCCTCCTATAGCCCTTTAGCTCAGTGTGAATTAACCCAGAAATGCCAAGAGTGGTTTCTCTTTGAATGTGTAGTGGGTCACTGAAGGAAAGTGAGAGGTTGAGTGTGTGCCATTAGTATATACTATGCGGCTGAAAATGTGCTTCATGTGTTGAAGTGTTTGCTTGCCTGTGTGTTCATTTGTATGTATGCAAGCAAGAAGTGACTCACAGGACAAACAAAGACAGACACTGCTGCCAGTGTACAATACAGATATATAGTCTGGCATTCCCCTTATTTCTTATGGGCTATTCATTTAAAAAGCAGATCAACTATTTAATAAAATCTAAGTATGATTATCATTTTGAATTTAATGTACTCTACTGCACATGTGTCAAACTCAAGGCCCGGGGGCCAAATCAGGCCCGTGGTGGATTTAATTTCGGCCCAACGCCTTATCTCAAGAATGCCTTGTACTCTTAACAACATCTAGCAATATATAGATGTATTTTTATTACAAATCAGGGGTCAGCTAAAAGGTGTACAGGACAGAGGGGGATTGCAAATCAAGTTAGCACCTTTTTAAGATGCTTAATATGTATAGTTGATAATAATCAGGGCTGCACATAACTGGTGCGCAGGTGCGCATGCGCACCTCTGCCAAAAAAAGAGCACCGGGTAATTTGAAAAAAGGCGCATTTGCGTACCAACATTGAGAGAGAGAGAGGAGAGAGGGAGAGAGAAGGGAGAAGAGAGGAGAGAGGAGAGAGAGCGAAAGATATTTGCGAGTTGCATATGAACTCAGGGTCGGCCCGTAGCACTGGTGTTATAGATGTTCGCCTAGGGCGCCAGATCTGTGGAGGCGCTGCGCTGGCAGCTCTGGGAGGGAAAAAAACATTTTTGATCGTTGGCGCTCATCCTAATTTTCGGCCTTGATATAACAATATTCATAATTAAGTAAATGTAACACGCTTTTCACCCCGGTTATACGTTTCATTTGCCCTGTACGATGGGCGCTGTAAGTGATGAAAATGGGAGATGTTGGCTTATCTGGCGCCCGCAGCTCACAGCCAAAGTGCGAGTGAGCGAGGGAGAGAGAGAGAGAGAAGGGCGCACTGCCCGGTACCGGCGCAGTTGTTATTAGAATCTGGTGCCGTGCTAGCTGCTCTAACGGAAGTAAGAAGAAGATGTTTCTACAATAATGTGGAGGGAGAGTCCCCTCCAGTCAGACTGAGAGGCTGATAAGTTAACTACAGCTCAGTGAGGTAAAGGACTCTGAGTGTTTAGATAGTTCACTTTAGTCTAAGTTTAAACGGTTTGGTCACAATTTATGTAAACACATATTTCCAAGGCACTCCTTTATAATTATTTGGATAAACAGGTTTGAAATCATTCCAATGTATACTATAGGACAGTAACCAAAAATATCCTTTAAAACTGGAGAGATAAAAAAAATGCATAAATAAATAAATGTTAACTAGAAAATAAGATATAAATGAACAACACAAATAAAATAAGTTACATTAATTTGTTATTGGCTATATATGGTAGGTTATTGGTTATGTTTACATACTTATTTGATTACATCCACTTGTCTAAGATGACAACAGAGACTTTCGACCCAAACCCAGCTGTTGACTTGTGGATGCAAGCAGCTAATCGCAGACTCAACCAGAGAGAAAGTAGTAGGCCTACATCATCAGCTACCATGTCTGACAGAGAGGAAGACAGTGAGGAGAACAGTGAGGAGGGTAGTGATGACAGCTTGTAGGATTACCGGTCGTGCTAATGTTGTCTTGTGTTCACCACTGCATGTGTGTTCAGTGCCGTGTGTCTGGCAAATAAAGTCAAGACCCCCTCAAAAGTTACGGTTTATTTCATTTTAAGGATGAGCACCAAGCAACATCTCCAGGTGCTCCTTTGAGAACCAGGGCAAAAAAGTTATGTGCACCCCTGATTATAATGCATTTTATGTATAGAGCGCTTTTCTTGAAACTCAAAGACACTTTAGAGCACATGTGTCAAACTCAAGGCCCGGGGGCCAAATCAGGCCCTTGGTGGATTTAAGCCCTCAGCTCAGAGCCTGAGCCCAAACATTGATGAACTTGCACCCAAGATGAGATGCCAAGTATCTGCTTGAACTAGCATCACAGCAGCACACTGAGTTTAATGGATGTTTCCTTCTGCACTTTGTCTCTCACGACACCAGGGCATGTTTGTTTTGTTCTTTGAGGGAAATAGTTTTGTTGAAGCTGTTGTTGGCCTGTGGAAAAATGTAATCATAAGAAATGACTCCGGAAAAGCTGCAGATAGAGCCATAAGAAATGAATGCAACTGATTATTTAATGTTTAATGTTGTTTTTATAGGCAATAATTTAAGCTTTGTTAGTTCCAGGTTTGATATGTGCAATAAGTTCATTTCAATACGTTTTGCAATAAACATTGAACCAGTCCGGCCCTCGACTAGTACCCATTTTTTAATTTTGGCCCATTGTGTATTTGAGTTTGACACCCCTGCTCTACTGCGTGTTCTGCCCCAAATGCCCGTACAAAATGGGGCTTTGACAAATTCTGCTTTCCAGTTGGCATGGAATATGTTATAAAAAAGGACGAAAAAGTCTTTAAACTTTTTACATTACATGTCACTTGTTAGACGCTTTTATCCAAAGCGACTTACATACTCAATACTGTGGACAATCCCCACAGGAGCAATTTGGGGTGAAGTGTCTTGCCCAGGGACACAACGACATGCTGACTGCAGTTTGAACCTGTGACCCCCTGATCCCAACACCAAGGCTCTATCCACTGCACCACACGCCCATCAAACTTGCTGAATTAATCTTGTTAAATGCTTTAAGATACAAAATAATAGTCTAGAGACTAAATAATTATAGTCTATGGCAGCGGTTCCCAACCTTTTTTATTTAATTTATTTTTATTTTGTACAGGCTAAAGACACAAACATGGACATAACAATAGGAGATGACATTCCCATCTTAGACAAAAACAAAACAAAAACAGAAGAAATAGAGATACAGTAGGATCACGTCAACATTTCACAAAATAGGTTGACAACCAAAAACACAACATGGCGAGCATATTTATTGTTCCTTTAGTTTAGTCCCACTCTTCGTTAGAGCTCATTATTTCCCACGTCACGGCGTGTTGAGCCACCCTTTGATTTTTTGTGGCAATCATTTTTTACAAAATAAATTGTATTTTTAATCTACTCTTCAAACACCTTCAATTAAGATCACTCCTTGATTAACTTTTAAAAATATGTATTTTAGCCAGAAGAATAGTTGTATTTATTAATTGTGTGCGGTCTTCATCTAAAAGCCCAAGTAAAATATGGAAGGGTGTAAAGGTAAATTCAATTTTGCCGCCAAATAATTTGCAAAACATTATGATTTTCCTTAGCAACGGTCATTCCAGTCCTCGATAGCGGTCTGTTCTACTGGATTTACAATGTGTCACATGTTCTGAATTGACCAATCAGAACTTTATTTAGCCTTGAAAAAGGTTGGGAGCCACTGGTCTTGCTTTTACATTTCTCTGGCTATGAAACTGACTCTTTTAAACTTCTCTTTTGAAAAGTGAGTTCCTTGTGCTTGATTTTTAGTTCCGCTTATAGTGAGGAATCTACATATACAAATAAACGTTTATCATAGATACTTAAAATGTTATCTTTATGTTTCCTAAATGCTAAATGGATACTGGATTTGATAAGCTGAATTCCATTCTTGACTCTGAACCTTTCTGCAGATAGCAGGCCATTTAGCTGTAAGATAGGTACGGCTTAGTAACAGATAAGGATAAGTGGATTGTAAGTGGATTACTGTAGCTGTAAGAACTATTGAGAAATTGTACAATGTTACAATAACACTATTTCCTTTGGATGAATGTTTTCTGTGATCTACCAGGTGGCAGCGCGGACAGAGTGCAGCATCAGGAGGAGGAACCAGGCCATGCCTCGGACCATCAGTAAACGCCGCAGCCGGTTCTCCTCTCTCTGGGGTCTGGACACCACCTCCAAGAGGAAGACCAAGGGACATCCTTCCATCAACCAGGTAACCATAGTGACACAACCATACTACAAACATTTGATTGATCTTACAGTGTTGAAAAAGTGTTAGTTATATTTTGGAGACATATCCAGAAAGAGGTCACATTTTGCCAAATCATTTGTTCATGGAACACTAGTGAAACCCAATCAGCTGCTAATTAACACTGTATGTTCATGTTGGTTTAGCATTCAATTAAAATGCTCAGAAAAGATTTGCAGATTGGATCATTTTAGAGATTTTTCCAAGCAGTGTACAACTATTGTGGAGGAAATAACTACGATGGATGAAACACATGTGGATGCCGCTAAAATGTCTTATTCTCCGTGTGATTGCAGGTCTTTGTTGATGGGGTGGAGCCGGTGAGGAAACCTTTGGAGCGAATGTTTGAAGACTCAGCCAGTGAGAAATCTGTAAGAGCTCAGCCATCTTTACTTAAGAACTAATACAAAACACACATATACCTTATTACCAAGGACGATAATAGTATCACATTTTCCATTACTGTTTATTTTTAACAGTAACAATCTTCCTAAGGCTAAACTAAGTTCCCCCTCTCCTTCCTAGTCTGACATTCACTACAGAGAACCAGATCTCATGTAGCTGTAGGCTCATTCTTTGTCATTGTTTGCCTTTTGCATAAGCCAACATGCAAATCACAAGGGCATCTAATAAACCTTTGTACTTGCATAAAGGGTTTTGAGCTTCTTAAGACCCAGAGGCTAGCAACACCGCTGGATTTTTCCACCTCCGTTCACTTAACTGAAATCCTTTTGGTGCGTTGGCTCTTCATTTAGTGGGTTATCTGGGGGAAGCACAAATTATCCTCACTCTTCTGCAACAATGAGCATTTCTTTGAGGTCATTTCCGAGCTTCTGCTTTAATGTTTTTAGACATGTTTTCTCTCCTCGGAGTGGAAGGATAAATAAAGAATCTTGTCCCTCGAAGTCATTAGATACTTCTTGAGTATATTAACCACCTATTTCATCTTCTGTAGCTGTTCATCCTCCTGCACCACTCGCCAAATGATTGGCTTCACCGGACTTGCAGGAATAACTTGGTTTTATAACTGCCCTCTCCTTTCTCTTACTCTGCGTCATATCCAGAAATAATGCAATTTCTCTTCTTCTGTACCATCCTATTGTGTGTCAAACACCTTTCTCAGATCAGTGTTGACAGATTCCCATTTCTTCTTTTCATTTGCCCCAGGCAATTCCCGCTCTAACAGCATCATTGGCTATCGACTGGAGGGATATTTCAGTCTGCTAATCCCTCTGAGACAAATGTAATCTGATCTGCTCAGATCATTAGCTTTCTGATGTTTCAACAAATTATGCAGGCATTTGCTACCAAAAGGCCTTTCACACCATCTGTGCTCTTGTGTCACATTGACCACAATTGACAGAAAACTGCAAATGAATAATATCTTCAGAGAGAAAAATAGACCATCAAAGGGTACCATAGGGTTGTAGGTTTCCAGTAGTAGCAGGCTTATCAATAATACATTTATATGAACTGTAAGGAAAAATGTCCAATTACTCATGGGTTGTGCAAGGACAAGCATGCCAGCTCCATATTTGATGAGAACTGATAAAATGCAGCAGTAGATGGAAGAAAACTCTGCAGCACTCTGACCGTTGGGGCCCCCAGTGGCACTGTGAGAGATTGGTTTCCATCCACCCACGCCCCGCTTCAGCTGGCAGGGTATGGGATGACAGAGAAGAAATGCATAGGAACTAAAGTGCTTCAGTTTGTTTTAAGACAAAGCAGGAAACGCTGCATCGGTAGGAACGAGCATCTCCAGTTAGATCACCGTAGATCCAAATACTCCCATCTGAGGGGCTTGTCCGAGCTTCAATTCCTTGTTTGTTATGGGGAATCCCACTGATGGAAAAAAGAGGGTGAGAAAGGGAGTTCTGTTTACCACCTTGGACCCCCACCCCCCCACCGGAGGCATCCAAAATGGGCCAGGAGGGGAGACAGATGGTAGCAAAGGCTGGGGAGATCAGGGAGTTGGGGGGAGGCACTAGTTTAGGCCCCCCAGTCTGTTGTCTAACTGAAAACATGCTTATGATATTTATTTATTTTGAGCTGCGTGTGTCAGTGTTATATTCATGCAATTGAAAAGGAAATGTTCTTTTGCATATAGTTGGTTTCTCTGTCTCACTTTCAATCTAACAAACACACAGATCAACACACACACACACACACGCACACACAGAGACCAGTCGGCAACAGTCAGCAGATTGTATGGCGCGAAGAAAAGATGGGGTGGAGGGAGATGATGGAGTGAAGTGTAGATAGAGGGGAAGGGGCACCAGAAGGAGAGGCAATTATTAGTGTTAGGGGGTTGCAATAGAGGAATGAAAGAATAAATGAGTTTGTGGAGGCTGTTATTTGATAGCAGCAGATAAGGTATCAGTGACGGACAGTGTGAGGTCGAACAGAAGAGGCGAGCGGGACAGCATCACAGGACAGAGGTCAGACTGATGGGTTTAAAGGTTACACTCTCTGCTTTGAACAGAATACACACACATATGTAACAAATACCCACGCAGGGAGACAATTGTATCAAAAGGCTCTCATCAATACGGACAAATTAGATTTTGTAATCAGATCTCCTGCTGCTTTCAGGCCACCGACAGTTTCCATCTAATCAGCAAATGTAGGGGTTTTAAGAAGAAAAACAATGATGATTACAAGGATTACTGCATTATTTTAGCCATCTGAATTATTTTTTCATTCTTCCCTTGGTGTATTATCAACTGGAACTAAAAGGTTTTCATGATGCTATTGAATTAATGATGGAGTGCCATGGTTATGGACTGTTTTCACCGAGGCTACTCAAAGTTGCTTAAATCTTCTGTGTGTGTTGTTTTTTCAGAAGGAGAAAGACGACTCGGTGAAAAGCGTTCCTCAGCAAAACGTAGAGAGCGACATTTGGGTTCCTGATTACCTGCAGCCCTCCTGGGTGTCTCTCCCGAACAATAAGCCTGTCCTGGCCATCGTTCAGCCGGGGGAGACAGCGCTGGACGTCCTCAGCTCCGTCTGCAAGGTGAGACATTGCTGATAGCTGTGCATGCTTTACAATACAAGGTTCAAGGTTCAAGGCTTTTATTTGTCATAGGTACATAGCTACAGTGTAGTTATGTCGATGAAAATCTTAGGTCACGGGCTCCACCAACACAATAACACAGAAAAACAGAAGAAATAGTGCAAGTGTGATGAAGCAGACCAAACTTTATGGAATACTTGTGGATTGATATTCAGTATTTATTTTTTCTTTAATCATTTATTTAACACAGGGTGTCCGCGGGGTCTTAAAAAAGGGAGACTATAAAGAGAAAGAAAGACACATGTTTAATAATGGCTCTTCGTTTTGCAATGGCTAATACTTAATTAAAGAGGGGTGGGATCGGGACTTAAATGGCTTCACCAAAACAGATTTAAACAACAGAATTGTGATAAATATCGATCTAGTGACTTAAAGGTTGTGTGTGGGGAAGCTCTGAAATAGACAGGGTGTCCGCGGGGTCTTAAAAAGTATTAAAAGTTGATAAATCAATTTAGCGAAAATTAAGGCTATTAAAAAGTATTAAAACGTATTAAACGGCATTTTCCAAGGTATTAGATTTTGTAGCTTGTTTTCAATAAGTATATAAATTGTCCAAAGAGGTTGTATTCTACAGTCTGCCTGAATGTAATCATTGCGTAGGTGTGTAGTGTGATTCTGTGAAGTTTATTTATGGCATCCCGTTGGATTTGACGTCATCTGAACAGGACATCTCACGCTCACTGCTCGATAGCGCGCGAAGGTCCGTTTACGCCGGTTGCTAAACAACATCGTTATGGGGAAATGCAAGTTTGCGTCCAAATGGTTGGAAGATAAGGAGGAAGGACAATCAATACTGTATATAGTCAATGTGAGGTAAAGTGTGTCGCCAAGGTAACCGGTTAAAACTCCAAGTGGCGGTGAGGTCTTAACATGTATGGAAAGGGTCTTAAAGAAGGTCTTACATTTGACTTCAGGATTCCTGCATATACCCTGTAAACAGGGACAGTGCACATTAATCAACATTTCTGTAAATGTGCCAGAGTTAGCCAAGAGCCTATTTTTCATCTGTAGTCCCTGGACAGATTTTGTAAGTCAACCTAAAACAAATGTCATTTTAAACAAGTAAATACAATCAAATAAAAACATGCAACATACAGTACTGGAAATCTTAATAAACAAAACAAAATAAAATAAAACAAAATAAGAAAATGTTAAAACACAGGCCCAACCTTTGTGCTCTAGAAGTTCATTGGTTTGTTGCACAATAGCGTGCACACATATGAAGACTTGCAAACATGCTCCAGTTAAACCGGTAGTAGTAAACAGCTGTTTGGATTGCAAGTATTTCATTTCAACAGGCCTGTCAAACACACGCAATCTTGAAGAATGAGGCTCGTAAAACTCTGTCTATGGGAGTTTAGAATACCATAAGTGGTTATATATGAATAGAAAGATTTTTTCTACTCTGATTAAATGATTCTTGAAGTGAAATCTGAGGATAGCTGAGATGGGAGATTCTGTAGATTGTTCCTGTGTACATAGAACGACAGTGTCTCACATCCCTTCTTGTCAATTCTCCTGGCCATCCATCTCCTTTTTCTTCCTCGTTGGTCTCAGCCAGAGACGCGCTACGTTAATGACGCCTAATGATACGTATGTGTTCCGCTCAAGGGTTTGTTAAAACACATGGGTGAAGCTGATTACGTGTGTGTGTGTGTGTGTGGGCGTTTGTGTGCATGCGTCACAAGGAACTGGAGCATCTAATTCATGGCCCCTGTGTGTTACATGCATGTGGATATATGTGGATTATATACATGACTGGATACATATATGTCATTTTGTCAGAGGATGTAGGAGTGGTAATGGTGCTTTGATAAGTGGGTTTAGAATACTCTGTGTTACAGAATAAAGAAGATCAATAAGAGCGATTATGTTTTTCTCATTTTGGAATCAAGTTTTCAACACTTATTCATCTCTCTCTTCATTTCCCTCCTGTTTTGTTGCAGACCCATAAGATAGACCCCTCTGGACACTACCTGCGCTTGAAGATGTGTATTGACAACAAAGTACTCTTTTATATTCCCACACTTGAAGAGGACATCTCTGATCTGGTGAGAACAAACACTGAAGCACTGTGTTCATAACTTGTGTTGTCCAGGAGTGCATTTTGGAGACTGAACTGATAATGAACCAGGAAACCAGGTCTTTTCAGCAGATGTTCAATATCCGATTTGGATTCTTCAACGTATTACTAATTAATCTTTGTTTTATTCTAGGCATTTATGGATGCAAGCTTGTGCATGTTTTATGACTTGGTTGACAGATTTGATTTGCAATGCATATGCAACTCCCATGATGGAAAATATGTACCATCCCATATGCTATAAATTATGCAAAATAACATTCTGAGTGTATTATGTGTACTGTTATTCATTCTCATTGAAAAAGACCTCACCTCTCTACTCAATCCCCAAAATGAATTCTCTTAGCGACGGTGCTTTGTAGGGGAAACACTGAACTCTGTCTCAAAGAAAAGTCATTGTATAACTCGCCCCTTTTCCTCAAGAGGTCTTTTATCTCCCTGCTTTGATCAGTGATATTTCTCCACAGTGAATGCCATTACACACGGCAGCCTTCTGTCCCTGTCTGTTGCTCGATACACACAGCTGTGTCTATGCTTTAGCTCGCTGAGGGGTCAAACCCTTCTCTGTGCACCCACTCACTGCTCAGACCTGACCTGGATTTTGACCCCACAACCTTCACTTGCAATTGCTCTGTTAAGGAGCCTGAATAATACATGAACTTGTACTGAGAGCCATAACATGACCTTGAACTCCAATCCTTCCATTTGTAGCCAATTAAATAGCATTTTCTTGTGTTTGCAGCTCTACAAAGAGATTGAGGTTTGCCTCAAAGCCACCAAGGTGATCCGGTTCGACAAAGCCGAGTCCTGCACAATTGGATATGGTATGCTAGTCTCTGACAATGCCCCCTTTTGAACCCTTTTTCTGTTCCGACTCTTACATTCTGTATCAAATTGATTTCATAATAGACTTCATGAGTCATGCTTTGTTAGAGACTAAAGGGGACTGACCCAGTTTGAGTGCATTTCATCCTAGGTGGATCTAATTGCTCAGTAGTTATGAGCCAGCATTGCACATTGTCAAATAGAGATTTTTGAAAGAGGACTAAATGAATGAATGGCTGAATCTCTTATTGTGACTTCTTATCTATTTCTGCAGGTTTTTCCGTGGCAGTCCTAGATGAAGAAGGGACGCAGCAGCTCCATATTACTGAAGTGAAAGCAGAGGGACTAGCCTCAGCCAAAGGTAAGAATTGCTTCTTTTTTTAAATCAACAAACAAACATGAAGTGTACTTTACTTTCAGTTCCTTGAGAGTTGATATTTAGACTAAGAAAACCAAACAAAAGTCCACCACAGTTTCCATAGATGAATCTGAGTGCAGTGACCTCAGGGGTTGTGTAAAGGATATGTGAAAGCTCGGTACATATTTCTCTCTTGAGTTGACATTGCAAACTCAACACTCGAACGCCTCACCTGCAAAACAACTGATCCCACATGACATCTTATCAGTGCAGCTTTGTGTGACGGCATCAGATACTGAGCCAACAGCTGAATGTCTTTTGATGAGAGACAGAGGCCTGCTTAGAACAGTAGAAAATAAATGGTTGTCTCAAAAAAGGCAGAGCTGTACACTTTACAGATGCATTGTTTTTATTTTAAATTGTATGGATCAATGAGGATTTACAAGGCAATAAACATCAACTTGCAATCCAAAAAAAGAAAATGCAATCCATAGAGAGGTCATTCACAGCCAAGAAAGGCCTTCAACATCAGTCTGTCCACATGACAGCAACTACAAAGCAGAAAAACATCTGGGTGCTTGCCAAAAATACACCTTTAAAGTCTTGAATCATCTGTTCTAAGCACTTTAGTCTTCCATCAGTCGTATTACTTGTTTGTATACTGAAAAAGGCATTATGACATGTGTCAAAAACCTACAAAAAAAATTGTATAAAAGCTATAAATCTGATTAATTCTTCTTCCTGAGTGCAAATAAAAAAATGCATTCCTTTGTCCTTTGTCTGGGTCTGGAGATCAACCCCCGTTCGTTGGTCTCTATCGTTGAACAGAGCCCAGAGACCTAATGGGTTGGAGAAACACACGGCTGCTCTGTAGATACAACACTAATGTATAGAAAATAACATGCCCTACTATTGTGCCCCAGGGTGAGACCAAGGTTACTCAAGTGTGAGATTGTGTCCTCCAGTGCATTAGCAATCTAAAAAGCTGCTAGCTAAGCAGGCAGAGGATAGAGCCGCGCTGCACCTTCATAGGCGAGTAGAGATGGGAAAAGCTACCGGCATACACACAACACAATGCATCTTGTTTTGGTAAGATTAGGCTATATTCTGCTGAATCACTGAATAAAGTACATGTTCAACATTAGTAGGTCCGTGTGTAGACTGGCATGTTCCTTTGCTTGCATGCACGCGTTTTACTAACAGTGAAAAGGATGAATGAGGAGTGAAGAGAGAAATCACGCTTCAA